CTCTTATGTCTGGTTTTTTGTTATGCAAGTTTTTGGTGTAAATTGTTTATTGGACATTATTTCTTTGTTTATGTGTTATGTATTTTTATTTTCTCCTGTGTTGGCTTTGCGCCCCGGAAAGCAATTTATTGCCATTGTTGCACAACATGGTTTTTGACACATATATCATATATATGTATATATACGGCAAATGCCTGGGCTTTGCCCGGACCCGCAATGATGACAGGCGACGCATCATCATCATCATCATCATCATCAGCAGAACTAAACCCTTATTGAAGATCTTCAAAGAATGTAGAAGTTTAACGGGGGTGGGAGAATTAAACCCTTATTGAAGATCTTCAAAGAATGTAGAAGTTTAACGGGGGTGGGAGAATTAAACCCTTATTGAAGATCTTCAAAGAATGTAGAAGTTTAACGGGGGTGGGAGAATTAAACCCTTATTGAAGATCTTCAAAGAATGTAGAAGTTTAACGGGGGTGGGAGAATTAAACCCTTATTGAAGATCTTCAATGAATGTAGAAGTTTAACGGTGGTGGGAGAATTAAACCCTTATTGAAGATCTTCAATGAATGTAAAGTTTAACGGGGGTGGGAGTTTAATACTACCTAGTACCTTTGTTGATTTTCCTAATAGAATGCTAAGTGTAAAGGTAGTGGGAATTTAATATTCCCTAGTACCTTTGTTGATCTTCCCAATTGAATGTAAAGTTTAACGGGGGTGGGAGTTTAATATTCCCTAGTACCTTGGTGTTTTTCTCATAGGAATTTAAGGTTTAACGGGGGTGGGAGGTTGATATTCCCTAGTACCTTTGTTGACTTTCCCAATTGAATGTAAAGTTTAACGGGGATGGGAGTTTAATATTCCCTAGTACCTTTGTTGTTTTTCCCATAGGAATTTAAGGTTTAACTGGGGTTGGAGTTTAATATTCCCTAGTACATTTGTTGTTTTTCCCAAACGAGTTTTGTGAAATTGCATCAACATTTGTTTGGGAATGGGAAACCTCTACGCTGCAACGCCTGGGCAAAGCCCAGGCGTTGCGCGTATATATTTGTAGGGGTGTCTCAAAATGAGGTGTCCTTTTTTCCTCTTAAAGCAACCGTTTTGGAAGCAAAAAAGGACACCTCATTTTGAGACATGCCCAGGTGTGTGTGTATATATATACATTATACAACTTATATTTTGTTTTTTGACATGTGTTTTTTGTTTCTATCCTGTGTTAGTTTGTCTCAGCCCAAAAATGTTGCATTTATTCTTTTGCATGTGGTTTGACAGCTTCATCGTATCAAAAAAAAATCAAAAACATGCTCCATTGAAAGTTACAATATAGAAATAAAACATAAAGAAAAAACAAAAATAAGTAAGAAAAAAAAACTATTTATATAAATAGCCTACAGGAAAAAATGTTATGTGACCATTCTGACTATTAGGTAAAACAGGCATTTTACCTAATAGTTACAAACAAAAAATTAACTAATAGTCAGAAAATAAACTATAATACAACCTAACAGATAGAAATTAGCCTGACCTGAGCTTTGGGCATGTTCCTGCAAGTAATCTGAATGTGGAGGAGCTGAATATATATATATATATATCACAAACATGTCCTCAATTGGCCGTTTTTGCTTCCTTCGGGATATTTGGAGCACCCGGGCCCAAGGCCCAACATGCAACTCCGCCCACCCGGCCAAAAAAAACAAATTCAGAAATGACTTCAAAATAAGGGGAAAAAGAACAGTTTCCAAAATGAAAACTCAAAATGAAAAAATGCAAATAAAATGAAAAACGTTTTTGACATGTACCTTCCTAGGCCACCTAGGAACTTGCAACATTACACCACCATTGACAGTCTGGGGGGTGCAGCTGTTGTTGACATTCGTCAATCATCTGGAATGCTCTTTGTACAAATGCAAGTTCCAGCGGATTGGCTGCGAATGCCGCGCTCCATATGCTCCATTGTCAATGAATGAATGCATCAACGTAGGCACTGCCGCCGCTTCATCTTCTGTTGGTCTCTGAAGCAATACAATACAATCTGAGCAAACGCATCAGGTGATGCATCTTGCGGATGTGATCGAACGATGTGGACATCGAATTACACAGTTGGATCCATGTGATCGGCCCACAGTCTTCGAAATTCTCTCTTCCAAAATTGAACTTCAGGGTGCAATGCTGCGATTCGCGGCTGGGCACAATGGGGAAAACGTGTCGGGTCTATAAACCATGTCTCCACACTGGTCATGCGCTCTCCACTGGGGGGGACGAGCGGTGGCAACCTGATGCTATTCATGATATAAGTTCTGTATCTCTCGCGATTGCAGTGCCAACTGCTCAGGTTCAGCCTCATCAGGAAGATCTGGCTCAAAAGTCTCATGAGGATCAGGATCAGGAAGTTGAGGAGGCTTCTCTTCCAGCCGATCACAACAGGTCTAGGGGCTCCACCGTTTGCATCATGTGGCCCCCGCTGAGGCAACACTGTCTCATTGTTGGCATCCTCCCGATGAATGTCAGAATGAGTGTCATTTCCAGGAATTGCATCTGATTCGTTAGGGTTCTCGAATCGCAACTCGAGGCATATCTGCAAGCGCATTTGCCGCATCCTACAAAACGACTTCACGAGCAAACATACGTAAGGATGGAAGTTGAGCATTGGATTCGCTCGGATGGAGGCACTTGCACTTTAAATAAACTCCATGAGAAGATGCACGCAGCTCTGATCTTGGGCATTCCAGCTTCTGCCGTTGGCTTGAGCAATGCACTGGTGTTTTTCGATCATGCAGCGCCTCCACGTTCCAAGTTCGCGAAGAATGACAGTGCACAATCAGATCAACAGCCGCAAGGATCTCGTCATGTGCAGCATCTCCACGCAGACGCACTACAATCGGAACAATCTCTGCGGGGGTGTCATCAGGAATGTGCTGAATTGAGTAGACATCAGCCAGACCCTCCTGTGACGCCATACGAATGTGCAACTTCCTGGCATAATTCTTCATAATCAGGCCAAGGCAAGTGCATGAACTTTCGATCCTCAGAGACACATCTTGTCGATCAGGCTTGATGGGGAGGAGGTCCCCCAACCTCGGGCTCTGGTGAAGGACCAGCCTGTGGCTGTCTGGCAAAATCATACCAGTCTGGTGCGGGCACGTCGTTTCGTGCATCAAAACAGATTGGTCATCATTTCATCATTGCTTGAATTCGCTTGACATTTTTGATCATGAATGAGATTAGTGACATCTTGTAGTGGCAGCACACCTACCGATCTATCATGATCAAGATCGCATGTGCGGAGGCTAGTCGAACAGCCCAGCTTGACACTTGGACCCTCAACCGTGTCAAAGGTGCAATGCGCAAGACATCTACTCTGCAACATGCTATGTAGATCATGATCTTCGTCAGGCTGGCTGCTATCAACTACTCTGCGACGTCGAACAATGAGGTCACCATTTTCAACTTCAACTTGTTGCGCTCCAATCATCTCATGTGGCATGCCCACATCCAGAACATGTTGTGCAAACCTTCGCAAACAGGTCCTTTGTGCCTATAACTCATGGTGCTGCTGGTCCATCACCAACACAGAGCATTCGTCTTGGATGCTTTGAGAGACAAGCACATGAATCTCGTGAGGGTTTGGCTGAGGCATGACTACGTGAACAAATACAGGCTCTGCTTCATCAATCATGTCCCGCCATGTACGTCGAACAATTAATTGTCATCCAAGTGGTGGCATCACCGTCAATGAACGTCCACCGATTTCTCACACTCTCTCGAAAGGCATTCTGATCGAGAAACCATAATGAAACCCAAAGCCGATGTGCGTGTTCAGAGCACCTCGCATCACGCAACTCTGCAAGTTCCTGCATCCAGTCAGGCAACACGGTCCCCAAAATATCTGCATCACAGTGCGCTGAGCTGGACCCGAGGAATCAAAGCATCTACGACTTGCAGGTGTCTGAAATCCATCATCAGTATTAGATTTGAAATCTCATGATGTAATATATGCGGCAGACGGAGGCCGCTACGGCCACACTGAAACAACGTACATGCTCATCAGAACCCACACCACTCCGGAAGTGTGAGTCTGGGGTCAATGTCATGCTGTGGGAGATCAGCGCATCATCTGAAAGATTTGGCGAACCTCTACCACACACATGATGCATTTTCAAAGATGATCATTTGACTCCGAGCCTAGTGGGATCGACAGACAAATGTCCGACAGCGGATCACTGCACTGAGGCAATCTGCTTTCACCCCACGGCTTGTCGATCCAAGATTGGAGAGCATCATTGGACATCTGGGCTGAATACATCTGAACTCTATCATCTTCTCCAAGAAGAATTTGAACTTCTGGATTGAATGACACATTGCATTGGGATCGTGAGTGAGCTCGTCGCATCATGGTTGATGAAGTATGGTCTCGAAACAGCGGTCGATTGCAGGAAACATAATACCCATTGCCCCATGCAAGATCCAAAGCTCGAGAAAACGCAGCCCATTTAGATACGAAGTCGTTCTGAGACGTCACTGAACGCAACCATTTCAAAATCATGCAGATATGAGTGATCGTCTCAAAACTATGCATCATTGCATCATCACGCCCATAGCAAGCCTCTGAAAAGTCTACTTGCTGGGCGCCGGAAAAGGCGTCAAAGCTTTGACGCCAGGTCCAGACGGTGCACCGGCGCACCCCCAAGTGCTGATTCCTGTCCATCTTCCAAGCGGGGCTTTTTGCTGGCAGAATCCGGAAGAGCCTCTGCCTGCTTTCTCAATGTCCAGGCCTCTGACCATGGTGCTGATGCCTTCCCGCACAAATTGTGGTGATGGCTGAGGGTTCATTGCCTCCTCGTCTGAGATGTCTTGCATTGGCTTGTTTGCTCCAAGTTCTTGTCCTGCTGCTGGAGATTGACGCCAACATTCGCTGCTCTCAATCACATACTTCTTCCATTGAAGGTGAAGCTGTGCCCTTGCTCCTTGAGCTTGATGCAAGGTACGTTAAGAGACACCGAGCTTGTGGACCGCTGAGTGAAGCTCATTGGTCGAAGCATGAGCTTGGGCCGCCGAAGCTTCTTGGACCAGATTCTGAACCTCCGGTGGCAGGGCTTGGTCTGACTTCTTCAAAGCTGCCATCCATTGATTCAATTGAACTTCTGCAGCTGAAGGACCCTGTGTCAGCATGGAAGTATACTCATCGAAGGCATAGCAGCCGGCATTGCAGGCAAGGCTGCAAGTGGGCACAGTGTTCTGGAGCAGAAGGTCCATTCCATCCGGCAGGCCTTCCCTTTGCCACCAGGCACAGGAGGAGGGGCTGGCGGCCACTGCTGGTGGTTCCGGGCTCCACTCGCCTGAGAATATTGCTGGCCACCTTCTCAAGGGTTTTGGATCTTCTCCTCGGAGATTTTGGCCTCTGTTGTCGACGTGAATCCTGCCAATATCTATACCCTTGAGATTGCCAACGTTGATCCTATCCTGCAGAGGGATGTTGAAAGGAAAGATCTGCTACCAGCAAAGTCCGCAATAGGCTGATTTCGCTTTGACCCACTGCTCGCAGTGGGAATATCTCCGTGGTCCATGATGTTGAGACATGGCCTGTCATGGCTCTTGTTGTAGTTCTGACAAAAAGGTTCGGGTCGTTCGAGTGATGTGATCTCAGCCTCTGTCTGAGTTGCCAGATTCCGATGCGAGACAAATGGATGCGACCTCTCGTCCACAGCCAAAGAATCCTGCGGGCTGTAGCATGCTGTTTTCTGAAGCGTCTCCTCTTTGTAGGATTCGTGATGCTCACAGCAAAAACAGGAAATAAGCACGAGCACCCAAACGATTTGTCGCATACGACTTGTGATAATAATTTGATAATGCAAATCACAGCAGCGGTCAAGCAAATGACAGCGATGCCAGAAAATGCAGACAAAATATACCGGTGCAAGGTCACTGCAGAACCGTAAAATCAAACTTTGTAAGGGCTCGGTGGAGTTCTCCACGGGGACCATGTTAAACACGTGGACAAAAACACTGTAGGCCCCAACACCCGGGGTTGATATAGCAGCTGGCACTGCTCAGAAAGGTGATGTCACAGAGGTGACAGAGCACTTTGCGAAGTTTGCCAAGGATAAGTCAGTGGGCAGCATCTGCAGCCTCTGAAATACCAAGGAAACCAGTCGAAGAAAGGCAGCTAGCACTCACCACCGAATGTGCTGGTGCCCGCAGTTTATGGCACAACCCAAACAGCTAAGGTCAGGAAATCGAGGGGCGCCCTTACTGTGCTAGCACACTCCTCGATCCAAACCTTGGTACCCCAATGAACATCCAAATAGACCCAAATAAGTTGTAGATGGATGTTCATTTGAAAAACTAGGTTTAGGACCCATCCCAAAATGGCTTTGTCATGAATTTTCCAAAAACCAGGTACCTCACGGAACACCCATGAAACATGACCCGTTTGGGGAAACCTAAAAAAACATAAGTGGGAATCTCCCCATTGAGGTTGCGAGACATCAATGCCATCAATGCACCTTGGCGCGCCCAACTGGAGATGCCGCTAGCACAGAGTTGCCTGAGTTGCTGAACTAGTTGCACCTGATTCATTTCTTGTTCCAGAAGTTTTTGATGGTCTTTGGAAAAGGGAAAAAGACATTTGTTTACCAGGTGACTCAGACATGTATTCTTGTCCCCAAGAGAAAATATAATTGAAAGATAGCAGCAAAATGAAAATTCTTCAGTCAGGCTAGACTTTCTACTCCAATTTGTTATACGACAAAATAACCCCGGTCGTGGTTCACTCCGATACCCAAATACCTCTCGAGATCATATCCGTCTGGCTAAAGATGGACCCAAATGAATCGTGAAAGAAAACTATTGAATGGGCCCCATCCATTTTGTGAAGATACATATTTACTAACCAATGTACTTCGCAGTATAATGGGATCAAATATCCACTGTTCATGGTCTCTTCCAAATGTAACTCATGGATCGAATATTTCGCAGGACAAATGTGGGCGTTTACCGGCACAATCTAGTCCAGCCATTCAACACAAGCCTCGCTGGGGCATTATTCCAAATATTTTGCGATGATTCCATAAATCTGGCTGGAGTTTCCCATGCAAACCAAAAGATATCCAGCCCTATTCTTGAAACCAACACTATTTCCCGTACTCAGCGGCATTGGCCAGTTCAGCAAACAGCGTTTTAATGCTCCAGGCACACTTCCCAAGTGCTGTCCCAGCTGCAAGCAACCCAGAAGCAAACGATCAACATCATGGATTCGCGGCAAATTAGGAACACATGGCCAAGTGAAGGGTCACGGAGGGTCCGTTTTCGAACTTTCAGTTCCTATACTCTTGAACCGAGAGTTGGTGGATGAGCGTTGCTGGCTCACATTTCACTTCATCCTGGCACCCTCAATTGGTGGATCAATTCCGCGTGGAAAAACCGTACCTGTTGGAGTCGAATGCCTGATGTAATATCTCTGTCCGGCAGAGGAGCGACTTGTTGAGAGAGCCTACTTGAAAATACGGGCACCAAATATTGTTGCGCGAACCCCTTTCCATCCCAGCCACAGCAGCAAGGGATTGTTCATCCAGCTTCTGCATATTTGTGTTGACGCAGCTAGTATTGAAGAAAGCCCTTTTTGGGGAATCAATGTCTGTATATAAACAAACGCCCGATTTTAGATGCCGGCAAAAATTCGCCGCAAAAAATGACTAACTCAGAATTGTGCAACACAATACAGGCGTGGATCCTTTCTATACGCGCAGACTCACAAAATAAAATTGCGGCAGGCTGGTCAGCTCAAATATTCCCCGTTCTAGGCTGCAAATCAATTTGTTTACTGAATTTCCGGTTGCCCTGATGTATAGTCACAAAGCTCAACAGGCAAGGGGGCAACCCGCATCCTTCACCGGCCATGACAATGATGTTCACATGTGTAGAAAAATGAATGAAATTCTTGGAGGCACAAGTACGGACCAACTGACGTCAAATCTCGGGTCCAGGCAAAGTGAGAAAGAAACAACAAAATGACTACGAGTAACTGCCGGTGGCGTTGTGAAAGGTTTGCCACAAAAATCCACAAAATACAAGTCTACAAGAAGCAGGTTGCCTATGCGAGAAGGTGGTGTGACATTAAACCCATGAATGAATGAGTTCTCGAGTGAGTGAACCGGTTTTGGAAAAAAAACAGTTTGCGTGAGCAAACCGAATTCCATCGCAATTTTTCTCGATCGCTGAACATATGAAAATTCCAGGTGCTATCCGCACGTCGAATCAGTTTCCAATTTAGCCTGAACAAGCTGAAGGAAATCGGCGGCAAGATAAAGATCATGTCTTGGGATTTTGGCATCAATACAAACACCAAAAAACTATTGCATGAGATTCATCTAGAATTCACCTGCATGGATCAAACAGAAAGATTCCTTTTGTTTCAAGTGTTTTTTTCGAAAAAAAAATGCTGGGTGTCACGAAGGTGCCTCTCCTCTTGACTGGCCAACTTACAGATTTACATTATGCAAATTTATGCAAAGTGGTGGCTATGCGGTATGACCATGCATGGCCTAACATTATTCAGCAGTATCAAATAGTATTGTCAAAAGTCTAATCCCTTCAATACCCTTCTGCCCCGAACTTGACATTCACCAAACAAAGCTCCAAAATCAGAGGAACCAACCCAAGTTTGCCAATAGGACACCAGGGCCGTACCAAAATTTCAGGGATTTCGGAGGCCACCCTCGCGTCCCAGTCAGCACCGACCCCAGGCCCCTGCGTCCTTGAGAGGAATAACATTTGTGCCCTCCGAGTCCCGGATGACTTTCTGCACGGATCCAAGTTGATCCCAGCTCCATGGTCAATAGGGTCAGCCATTGTCGCATCTCATGGCAATGGTGGGTAGCACTTTGATTATGGCATACCATGTGTGTGAATACAGGTCATATTATGTATATCCACGTGGTCCATATATGTCCATGTTATACCCGCAATCCACAACATGGAGGAGGCGGCGGGAAGTGCTATCACAAAATCGAACGACCCTCACCTGGCAGGTGGGGAAAAACAACATATGCTTAGTGGACAGCCATCAACTTCGGGGATTCACCCCACCCAGGCCTTAGACACCGCGCCACCCGTACACGTCATCCACCCATGAATCGCGTTTGACCTGGCGAGGAGGTCGGCCACCACTGGACATCCACGAACTGTCCGCGAACAGGATGGTTTCTTCTTCAACGGCAAACATGGCAATCCCAAAGAATAACGTATTCACATATGTCCCAAGATAGGGGTACATGAAAATCTACGAAGCAAATGCATTGGGAGTACCAGGGAAACCTTTGCTTCTAGAAATACGCCTGGTCATACAACTTGACAATTGATCAGTGATAGCTATGACATACTACGATATTGATGCATGTTGTTTGTTTCTTGGCCGTTGATGCCCTTTCAGCCTTATGGTAGAAACGAATATCATTGCTAACAGAGGCCAGTGATTGCTGCAGCACAGCATATCTATATTCCATGGCCCCACAGGTTGTGAACTCTGGTTCGCTATAATTTTCGTAAATTCAGCCATGCATTTGCCCCTGTCGCGCGCCATAGTACTAGTTAGGTCTGGTCAATGCACCAAAATCACTGTTCACACCGTTCGCACCGGTGCACATCAGCAGACACCTACCACCCACTTCTCAGCCATGCACCTGCGCGGGTGGGTCTGGCAGCCTCAGGCCCCAAGGACTGGATCATCAAAACCCAGCAGACGGCAACTCGGGTGACAAAAGGGTAGATGCATACTACCCAGTTTTTACCCACTGTCAAGTGGATATGTAGTCTTATCTGATCACTTATTTGCAAATGCTACAGCGACCCGGCAATGTCATGCCTAAGTCACTCCTTTTGCTTTCCCCGCTTGTGAACGCAACATCAAGAAGTCATGCCTAAGTCATGCCTTTTGGCCTTCCCCCATTGTGAACGCAAGCGTCAAAATAGCCCTTTCCAAATCGGAACCTTTCATTTTCGCTTCTTTTTTTCCTCCCTGCCCTTGCGATTCAATATTTCTTATTTGCCCACTTTCTTCCCCAAACAGGTTTACCTGTATGGGGTTCTCAGTAAGAATTCTTTAAATAGATACTGGGTAGCTATGGCCCCCTTACACAGAAAGAGGCCAAAGCAGTCTGTAAGTTCTTACTCCTTTGAAAGAGTTGCAGTCCTGGGTCGCATGATTTTGCTTCTGTCTCCGGGATTGCATTCCTGGTATGCTCTCCGACTACGGTCTGGGTGCTCTGGGTCGCCTGGTTATACAATGTTATACACTTGTCTCCCACTTGTGTCCCACTTGTCTCCTACTCACCTGCATGTCGCATGATGTGCCTGATGTGCCTCAACAGCACCCAGCAGCACTGGACAGGCAGAGACAAGAAACAACGACCAAGCAAAGAGAGAGACCAGCTGCAGCAAACATCCACCAGCAGCACCTGCCCAAAGAAGAGAGCAAAAGGAAGGCAAGAGCCCAACCAAAGATACCAAAGAGCAACCAAAGAAGGGCAGGGAAGGGGAAAGGACCAGGAAATCTAAGCCTGGAAAAACGAGATCAAAAACGAGATGCAAACGAGATCCGGGCCCTTGCAGCAAACTCCCGGAAAGTAAAATCGGAAGGTTGAACCACATGAAGGAGAAGCCTACAGGCAAAATATTACGCCCACTGAGGCAGGCAGAACCTGCCACAAGCGGGCAAAACGGAGCACAAGCGTGCAGGGACCAGAACCCAGCAGCAGCAGGCAGCAGCAAGCAGCAGCAGGCAGCAGCAGGCAGCAGCAGGCAGAACACAGCAACAGCAGGCAGAACCCAGCAGCAGCACGCAGAACCCAGCGCAAGCGGGCAGAATTGAGCACAAGCAGGCAAATTCCAGCAGGCACAGATTCCAACAGCAGAGGACAGAACCTAAATAAGATAAGTTTCAATAGACACACCTCTCACCGCACTATTGACAATGGCATGACCATAAAGATTGCAATCAATGCCACACAGGGTTAAGTAGAATCATGTCAACAATACACTGCCCACAGCGATGAAATAGTATTCAAATCAACACCAGCCAAATAAAGAATTATAGGAACGGATCATCCCACATGTTACCAACTTCTCTAGACTTGGACTGAGCATAGAAAAGCAAGAAGGGAAGAGGAAGTATAAGAGTGATGGAGGGGTGATGGTGGGTGAGTTTGTGTGTGTGTATATGTATGTGCATGTACAGGTGAGTGAGTGAGAGTGTGAGTGAGTGATGTGAGTGTGGTGTGTGTGAGTGAGGGATGTCTCTCTCCTTATCTCTCTATCTATCTATCTATCTATCGATCGATCGATCGATCGTCCGATCCGATCCGATCCGATCGATCGATCGATCGATCGATCTCTCTCTCTCTCTCTATCTATCCATCTATCTATCGATCTATCTAGCAATCGATCTATCTATCTATCCATCCATCCATCCAATTGCCGAGGCTCTGACCGAAATAGTTCAACGGCTGCAGCATTGATAAATGTGTCTGTGTTTGTGATGGCAAAACAAGACAACCGGTGAAAAGAAACTGTCCAACTGTAAGAATCAAGACAATGCAATATCACACACACACACTGACTCTGCCTCATCCTGTAAACCGCATACGCAATGGAGAGAGAGAGAGAGAGACAACTGCTGCTTAACGCAGCAAATTGCCGAGGCTCTGACCGAAATAGTTAAACGGCATGTGTTTATGTCTGCGTGTCTGTAGCAATATGAGTGTGTGTGTGTGTGGGTGAGTGTGTGATGAGTGATGTGGTGAGTGTGTGTGTGTGAGTGATATGTGTGTGTGTGTGTTTTTTTTTCCCACGCTTCTTTCTGAGTAGAATCCGCGCGCGCCTGCAGCATAGAACTATTGTTCTAGCTGGTTCTCTCTGTGGAGAAACTGGGAGCCTAGAGCAGCTACTGGCGGCATGCAACCATTGGCAAAAATTGCATGCCCCTGTCATGATGGTGAAAAAGCAGCTGTGGCCACGGTAGTGGCATCGAGGGATGAGTGAAACGACAGGGTCTTATGAAGAAAGCAACGGATTTTTTTTTTGGGGGGGCTTCGTGCTTCGTGGGCGTAATGCCTCTTGGCCCTCCTTGTCCTCTTTTTTTTTAAAAAAAATTAGGGCCCTGCATACCTGGGGTACACCCCGGGGTTACCAGAGGGCATGGACAAAAGGAGGATAAACCGGTTGGGCACCGGGTGCATCGGCAGCTCGGATGAGCGGTGTCCTGTTGTCTGTGGTCAATTTGTCTCGGATCCATGTCAGTATTTCATTTTTGGGAAAAGCGCCGGCTAGGCAGTGGCAAAATGCCTGGACAGGTGCGGGATCGCCAAAATGGCGTTCAGTTGTCCGGTGAGCACGTCCCACTAGAGGAGATGGCTCTATTGTCTCCATTGTGCAACATCTGAAACATGGTGCTGCCACTGGACTGCTCACTAAACGAGTCAGCCGCGTTGGGCGCATTGTGAAACTGATCTAATGTGTTTTTTTTGTTTTGTTTTTTTTTGGGAGGGCTTCTTGTTTCGTGGGCTTCCGCCTCTTGGCCCCCCTTTTTTTTTTGACTGGGGGTCGGTACACCTGAGGTTTCTCAAAGGCCTGCAAAAGGTGGGGATAAACCGGCTGGGCGCCGGGTGCAACAGTGAGGCAACATGTCGATCGACCTGAAACGCCAGCATATGATCTCACCCTGCTGTTGAACTGGTCTTTCATTGGAAAAATTGGCAACGTGGGCCATCACCATATCAAAAACTGGTGATGACACAAGTGCAAGATTTTTTTTTTTAATGTTGTGCCAGTCAGCAAGTGCATCAGCGTGGTGTCTGCCGGTGGAACACTGGGCGCTTGGTGCCAGTCGTGCAGCTCGATGAGATCGGTGCGGCACAGCCAAACACATGTGACTCCAGCCATGAATCCCTCGGGGATATACGTGCCTGGTTTGGGTTTCCTGCAGTCATCGCAGTCCAGCCAGTACGCTGTGGCATCAAGGCCTACATGACCTGGTTCTGTGCGCAATAGTGCTTTATAGTGCCCTGCCTTTGACTCTCCGTAGCGTGCAAAGGCCGCGACCGCTTGGTAGAGTTCCCATCGGCACTCCAATGTACTGCCTTGGAACACTGGGACCTGAATATCTCCAGTGAATATGATGGGTGTCTGCATTTTGTAGATGGCTCCTTTTGAGGTTTGCACCATCCTGTCCAAGTGAACACAGAAGGAGTCTGGAGGGCGCAACAGTCCAGCACTCATGCCAAGCTCTCCGTGCCAGCTCCTCAGCATGTCAGTCAGGCGGATCATACCATTGGTGACGTGTGTCGGCTCAAGTTGCAACAACAATGGCTGATATTTGTCACCGTGGTCATGTATCAGCACATTTTCACACTGCATCCATCGTCTGTGCCAATAGCTGGAATAAAATGCAGGCGACACCCATTGAACCAGCATTTGTGTGAACTCTGCTGAGTCTGCCTGACCGTGATTGTCCTCGCAATGTAGTGTGAGATCTTCATACCATGTCTGACTGTCAATGGAATAGGGTTCAGGCGAACTCAGCATCTCACGAAACAAAGGGGCTGGTATTCCCCAATCAGCGTAGCTGAAACTAGATCTCGACAGGCTAGCCCAAAGGAAACAAGACACCGCTGCATTGGCATAGCAAAGGTGGCTGGAGTTGTCCAGGACAAGATTTGTCAGGGCAGCACGCAAGGCATTGCGGGCACTGGCACTCAAGAACTCTTCTTCTTGCCGTTCCCCTGGCTCTTGCCTTTCTGGCCCGTCAGCAGTTGCTCCAGCATCAACGTCCACAGCGTCGACTGTGTCATCCCCATCAGTGTGGTCCACATTTCTGTTTCTCTGATGCTCAACTCGATCATCCATGGCACCACTGTAGCCTGCGGCTTCAGACTGTGGAAACGCATGACCTGCCCCTCCTCGTTCAACAACTCCGTGAGCAGCTGCACCTCCTTGAGAGTCCTGGCCATCCCCATGGGTTGGCGATGAGAACGGATCAGCTTCTTCTCCTTGTGGCACCAATGTTGATACGGCCAAGAGCCGTCCGCTAGGATCACTCCTTCTTGGACTGCTGTATCCCATATTTGGTTGCCCTGAGAACTCTGTGAGAGCTTCACCAGCCTCGTTTGCAGCTCCAGTATGACGCTCCGCAACAGGAAGGTCCTCAGAGTCAATGGCTTGGCCTGGTCGGTGCTTGTCTGCGTCTTCCAAGCCAGGGCCTGCTGTGTCAGCACCCCCAGAGCACTGCCTGGACTGGTTTGAACGAACAAAACGAAGCAGGTCTGTTTGTGTTGCATCTGTATGGCCCTGTCGTGCTGGATGATCACCTGTGCCATGAGTTTCACCAGGCCCAGTAGTGCCTTCTGATTTGGCCCTGGTTCCTCCTCCTGTTTCACCAAGGCATTTCTAAACTTTTTGGGATTTGGTTCGTCGTCGTTTGATCGGTGGTATTGACTGGCCTGCATCAGCAGAGGACCCAAGGACGCAAACGAGTTCATCAGCTCCATATCGGCTTGATCCATCATGGGTTGATCTGCCATGGATAGGAAGAAGAATCAGTGCAATTTGGTGTAGCACTGGGCAGCACGCAGTGAAATGTGCTTGGACCGTGGCTGTGCGTGCATCAAGGTCATCACCAGGGTGTGGTTCTGTATTGAAAGTCAGGGCACAAAACTTGCACTGAAAATCATTGGATTGCTCACGTGTAAAACGTAAAACATTGCAAAAGTTGAAATTTGATCTGAGCCGCCCACTGACTTCGGTCATGGTGCTGAGCCATCAGGTGCATGGTCAATGCCGCAGGGTGAAATTGGATGCCACAGAGTACACAGCGATTTCGGAACAGTTTCAGCAGAGTGGGAGCATGCCACAGATGGCTATAATCTCTGTCAACCAACACATTGATCATCATGTCAACATGAGCATTGGACGCCACGTGTCGGTAGGCCAGCCGCAGGTCAGCTTCACTGAAGCTCCACGGAATCAAGAGATCTTGCTCACTGGTCAGGAAAATCATGGACAGCTGTCGGATCACATTGCAAATATGGGTGCGACTCACATCATTGGTGGAAGGGTTGCATAGGCATCCCACATGTGAAATCAACGTTTGCAAAAGAAACCGAACAAGTTCTCCCGACTGCGCACATAACTGTGCATGTGTCTGTTGGAGGTGCGCACTCAAGTCATTGCATCGTGAGTACGTCTCCCCGCATAGTTGGCAATGCAGCGTCAACTGGAGTCTTTGGTGTGCTGTCAGTCCTGTGGTAGATATGGTACCCGCCTGGAGGATCATGGCCCATTTTGCCGCCACATTCAATGGCGTGTTTGTCGCCAAAGGATTGAAGTACGGACAGCGTCCGTCCGTAATGTGACGCCTCAGGCCAGCACGCGTAGCATATATTTGGCCACAGTGACTGCAGCCGTTGCTCTCAGGGAGAGAGTCCCTGGCAGCGTTCCAGTCGTGAATTTGGACCTCATGAACGGAATTGAGGTGAGCATGTAATTGAGCAGTTGTTTCAAACTCCATTGCGCAAATATCACAGCTCAACTGGTTGCAGGTCAGGTCGAGGCAATGCAGGGCCAAGGCAGCCAACTGTGTGGCCACTTTGCATGTGTGTCCACGCTTGAATGGTGTCTTGCAGAAAATGCATGGACTGGTACTGGGCATCATCTTGGTGATCTGAGCTGATTTGGTAAAAATACCCTGCGTCAGGTCTGGGTGATGAAGCCGATAGTGTCCATTCATTTCTTGGCAGCGGTTGTTCCAAATGCCGCACACCATACAGGAGTGGGTAAGGTATTGACTTACATCTGGCATCGCTGCAATGTCCTGCCAAGCCTGTCTCTGCACTCTGTCTTTGAGGTCCGTCCAGAAAGGCTGGGTGGTGACATGATAGCTGGAGGACTCTGCTTTGGAGCAACCAACATCTTGGGGATCCGACACGGGCAGTTCCACAGTCGTCGGTTGTGGTGCCTGGCAACAATTGCGCTCGACATGAATGAGAAGACGTCTCCAAGTTGTGAAATGTTTATGACAGTGAGTGCATTGGGGTCGACCGTTCATAGACATTGCTAGGATGGTATGACCGTATGTGCGATGTTGAACTGTACCATGGACTGTAGTATTGTGCCGTCTCAAATTGGGAATGGAATGTGTAGCAAAGCTGCAGTGTGGGCAGTGGTATCGAACCTGCATCTGCTGGAGATCATCATCCCCAGATCCTACGGGCACCTCCGGCATGTTTGTTGCAACTGTTTGGATCAGATGCATTGTGTCTTGCAAGTGTGACCAATCAACGTGATGTAAAAAGTCATCAGGTGTCAACCATTGCTGCCTCCGTTGAAGCCGACACCATAGGCTCTGTGTTAGCTGACAATAAGGACCTGCTGGTGATTGTGACCTGTGACATATGCATGATCTCCAATGATTTTGCGCAGCATCTGATAAACTGTGAGTTGATATGCCTGCAGTGTCTGTAATGTAAATGAGGTTGCAAACAATCCATAAGTCAGTATGGTGTTGATGCACGTCCTCCACAAATACAATCTGTGTGGCAACTTGAATTGTCGTTGACGAAGCCATTGAGCCAGTCTTGCAAAAGCACTCCATGCAGCTCGTTTGCGGTGGTGCCATGTCTGGAGTTCAAACGCGTGGTATGACATCACTGTGCCAAGATAGACGCCATGGGTGCGTATGGGTAGCTCCGTTTTGCTTCCATCGCGACGTGGGATCAGGGCAAAGGTCTCGCAGTTGGTACGCTTGAAACGTCTCTTCATGGCCACACGTTGGTTGCTCCCTGTGGTTGCCAATATGACATAGGATTTTTGGTAGGAGAGCTGAAGTTGTAAATCTTCAATACAATCCAGCAAATGTCCAATATTTGTCATGTGGCGGTCCAACTGTCCCGGTGTGTTGAAGCAGCAACCAACATGTATGTCGTCTGCGTACAACGTCAGGCATTCCCTGATCCAATCGTCCCCGGTTAGGGGTGTCAGCAAATCAAGCAAGCGGTGCATGTAGACCACCCATAAAATGGGGGCAATTTTGCAGCCCTGCCTGAGTCCCGTTCCAACTGGTATATGGGTTGTTTCATTTTGGAACATTAAGTTGTATTGAGTGTGTTCATGCCAGTGCGTAATGATAGTAAGGAGGTCTGAATGTGTGTTTAATTTGTGTAGATGCTCAATCAGAGTGGCTCTGTGAATGCGGTCAAAAGCTTTGGTTAAATCAAGAAAAAGCTGTAGTCCGCCCATGAGAGTGGCAGCTGGTGGGGATCTCATCTGTGCAGCTACAGTCCTTCTGTGGTTTTTAACCAACTCTCGGATCAAGGCACAATGTCGAGAGACCCGACTGATCGCATCTGTGGCCGCACGCATTGGCAGGAATCCAAAATGGGGACCCTGGCATAGAGTCTTTGCCAGGTGTTGCTTCAGGCAATCTGTGACCAAACCCATCACCAGTTTTCCTAGTGTTTCCATCAGAGAAATTGGTCGTAGCTGGTCCGGTTTATTGCAGGCTTTGCCTGGTTTTGGGATGAAATAAACCCAAGAGTCTTTCCATTCTTGCGGGATGATAGGAGGGTAAACATTCCACCATTGATTCAATAAGTGATGCAGGTAAGTAGCCACCAAATATGGGTTCCCCTTCCACACAATAGCTGGCAAAAAAGGCATGGCAACTGACTTGTTTGGGTGCAGTCTGGTGATGGCCCTGGCAATGTCATCTACCGTGAACGGAACCCCAGGGGGGTGTTCAGTAAAAGTTGGCAGGGTGCACGGGCCTTGCCAGGTGCATCTGACGTATTCAACCAGCAGTGCATGTGTTTCAAACTGATCAGCAATGTTGCCGTCCCCTGTACGGAGTCTTAATTTCATCATGGGTTTGCGGGGTGAAAACTTGTTGATGATGGAAAACATCTGATGTGCATCATGTCTGTCCGCTGCCCTGCTGACCTGGTTGCGGATCTGGCAAGTCGGGCACGTTTCTGTTGTGTCCGCCGCAAAAATGAAAAACGACTCCAATGGTGCCACACTTTCCAAATGTGTTGGAGGGTAGTGTGTGGGCAATTGCGTGAGTGCTTCAGGAATTGATGATGTTGCCACTTTTCCTGCATCGCATGGTGAAAGTCCGTATAGTCAATCTTCGGTATCGGATTAGTGGATCCTTTAAAAAGTTCTTGAAATTTGGGTATAATTTGTTGATGAAGAAGTTGAATGGCATCATGAGCATGTGTGGTCTCTTGCTGCCTGACGCTGATCACTTCGTGAAGATGATCTTGGAGCTGCTGCCATTGGCTGGTATCCTGCAGTTGTGCTTGTCGGCATTGGATCCTTTGTGCAAAATTGCAGGCTCTGACAGTACGGTCTTTGTGATATGCCATGTGTGTCTTTCTGATGGTGCCTAAGATGGGGACATGGTGTGTCTGGTTCAGTGGGACAAAAGAAGCATTGTATAAATGTTGAACATGTTTGGATTGTCCGTCGCATGCATTCAAACGTGGCATACATGCCATGCTGATATGTGTGGCCAGCATCTTGCCATGTATTCAACGCAACAAGTCCTTGTGATTTCAGGAGGTCCTTGAAAAGGTGCATATCCAGGTGTTGGACACCACGGCTTTGTTGTTCTCTCCAGTGGAAGGTGTCAGGGCCACACCATGGTTCTTCTCTGGGTAATTAACGAACAATTAAAATCGCCACCGCAGATGAGCTGATTTCGGTAAACGACTGATATATTCCGTCAGTTGATTCCAAATTTGTCGTCTGTGTCGGGCTGAGTCTGGAGTGCGGTAGTCTGTGAACTGATAGACAGCAATCACGTCTGTGGCTCTTTTTGCAAAATGCAATCTAATGTGTAAAAGTCGTCCAGGATGCACTATGTTGTAGCCAATGCAGTCAGACGCGCTCCATCGCTGAGCAATCATTACCAAAAGCCCGCCCGACTTGGCGTGGTCTGAATGGCTGTGCACGTACGACCAGTCCGTATCGTGCCAACAGGCCTCAAAACTCCAGCGGGTTTCAGATATGATCACCAAGTCAACCGGTTGGCGTTTCAGCCAGTACTTGAGCTCTTGAAAGGTACTTTGACTCATACCTCCCGGGTTCCAATGGAGGATCCGAATCCTGGGTTTGTGCTTGGTGTGGTGCATCACCTTGCTTGTCCCTGTGTGGTGCCCCTCTGTCAGCTGGAACGACTGCAACAATTTTGAAGGGAAATCATTGGGTCGCATGCACTGACCTTTGTACCATGTTTGTCCTGTCAGAACAGCTCTACGGCAAGCTCGTTTGTAGCTGCGTTTCTGTACCTGTGTATATGGCTGCTTGATAGGCTGTTGATTCGGGCCGTGGCCCACTGTTGGCGGTGTTCCACTTGGTTTCGCCCATTGCGAAAAAGATGTCTCCCAATCGGCTGCTCTCACCATGTTCGTGGCAACATGGCAACCCTCACCCTCATGATCACCTGGTCTTCTGAAAAAGGTAGGGATTGTAGACTGTATGAACTGACCAGTATTGATGTCCTGCTTGGTGATCATGCCCGGCATTGGGACCGGGTTGCAGGTCGCAAGTCTGTATACCAAGGCAATAGTCCCCAGCAAAAAGAACCAAGGATGCACAATTTGTTGTGTTGACATCGCAGTGTCAGCCCCCTCACAAGGGCACACTTTGTCCAGCAGGTGAGGGGGGACAATCAGGGAAAAATTATATTAAATGAATCACCAAGAATGTCCTGTGTCAAAGTGCAAAATCCAATGGCTGCATTGTTGGGTCAATCAGTTTGGGCGCCCACCCCGTGTAGTCGACTGCAAGCCAAAATTGTTGTAAGCACACTGGGCCAGGGAGGATGACGGGGGCCCACCCCGGCTTGCAATCACTCGTCAAGACCAGATGGCACACGCAGGGAGTCCAATCCCTATGTCACTGTTCCCTGAACGATTCTCCGTGGGGCAATGGCTGCAGGATTCCTAGGCGGACCAAACCAACCTTGAGGGCAGGACTCGCGCCTGCAAAGGGCTTGTGTGTGTGTGACTGTGTGACTGTGTGACTGTGTGTGTGACTGTGCGTGTGTGGTGTACATCCGACTCTTTGGCAGTGCACATTGCCCCACGCCTGCCACACAAAAGCGGTTGTCCCACGCCTGCCACACAAAAGCGGCGGAGCCCAAAGGACACCAGAGGGACGCCCGGGCGTACATCCGACCCCTGGCAGTGCACATGCGCAAAGGCAGTGGACAGCGGACAGTGATACAAGTTTTAGCTGAAACGTTCCACGAAAATCACCAAAGTACAAATGATCGTGCTGCATTGCCATTTACCACCAAACAACTCATGTGACATTGTTCCCCTGGGTCGTTCTTTACACAAAACTGTTTGTGGAATGAGTAGCAACACCGTTGCTTATAGAATGCCAAGGCATGTCTTCAAATGTACTGTTGAGTAACGCAGCCACTCAAACAGGCAGGGAAACACAAACCCTGACCATCTAGCACGAGTTTTGCGGAAAACAACGCAACATCCAATATCAAGATGTCATTGGCACAAAATCCTTCCTGCGTTTCGTGTTCATGGGCTGGGTGCCCCTGTCTGTCTGGGAACCATGCAGTTCATATCCCATTGCTCGCAGCAAACAGCACACGATATTTATAGAATGAGATCGGCCGCGGAAAAGCTCCGTTAGAGTGAATGCCCGGATTTGGCCGAAGTCTGTGAAGTCAGTCCACTGTAGCATGGCACCCGTTTCGATCATTTTGTAGACCGCCGCATCCCCATGTTGTATGTACACGTGCGCATGCGCGTCCGCATCATAGCTGCAACTGCTGCTAGTTCTGGCATGTTCATTCTCAATGCGGGGTTCAACAGCCGTCCAATCTACATCAAGGCGAATCCCAACCACAGCCGGTCCTTTGGAGTGATGATCTCCTTTTTGAAGAGCCACTCCAGAACCTTCCCGACCTCTGCAGATTCGGTCAGCATAGCGTATTGCCACGCCGACATCTCCTGGCAAAGGGCGTGGTTTCTCTCACACCAGCAAGGCTATTCGGTGGCTATTCCACTCTGCACTCACTGGTCGGTAGTTGTGGTGTTGGTGTCTGTTCCCTGCGGCTGTGCTCGGCTGTTTGACGGTACTCGCAGCTTAATGTACCACCAATGCCAACTTCCACCCAGAAATTTATCAATGCTGAAGCGGGGAGGCGTAGTCCAGGCCTGCTTCTCCAGGTGCAAGAGTAGAGCCCACCTGTCTGGG